TTCTGAGTCTCTAAAGCAATTCCTGTTTTCAGTGTGCCTCCTCCTTCCACCCCACATTGCTGCTTATTGTCATTCTCCTCTGCTTCTCACTAGCTGCACTACACCCTGCAAAGAAGCAGGCGGGAGCTTCCTTTCCTTTCCTCCTTCACATTGCTAAGCAGAGTCTCAACACATTCAGGAATTAGTAGCAAGCAAGAAAGCCCAATATGCTACACTGAATAACCAAACAAAAAACTAACAAAGTTCCAGGTCATTACTGCAAACAAATAACTAAGCTGTTGAAATAACATATTAGATCAACAGTTTATTTCCTAGCTCTGGCTTGAACAAACTCATGAGCTCTATTTTAGATTTTGTTTGCAGCCTTAAATGTAGGGTGTCAGTGTTTGGCCTGCTTGTCCTGTCATATGCCATTCTCCAAAGTCCTGTGTGGATAAATTGCTCAGACATTCAATATGGCTATATTTAGCTGGTATAAAATGTTATACCTAATCCCCTTCTGCCTGCTTCTCAAATAACTGTTCAGTTGGCTCCAGGAAGGCTCATATAGCTGTCTGTCTCTTAGCTGTGCTGAGAGTGAAGCAAAGGAAAGCTGGAGTGGGGCAGGGGGCCACATAAGTAAAGAGACTAAAAATAGACCCTTGCCAAGAACAGGTTTATCTCAAGATGATGCTTCCATTTTAAAACAGTAGAGAAAATAGAAGCTGAGAGATTGGGGGTGGGGGTGCAGTTGTGCCTACATTTTGGACCTACTCTTGCAGGTATGAATTTGGAAATTGTTAAAGTCTTTGCTGAGCTCCTGTTTAAAAATGTTTCAGAAACTCCAACACACAAAAAAAGTTCTCTTTATTTTAGAATAGGCTGACAAAAGGCTATTGTGCCACTAGTACATCAGCTGCATGTTCAGTTGCTAAATTCTGGTAACTATACATCCTATAGAGAAGACCCAGCATGTCTAAGAGATGTTGCCTTTCAGAATTATACATGCGTGGTGTAGTGGTTTGAGTGTTGGTCTTTGACTCTGGAGACCACGGTTCACTCCCTAGCTCAGCCATGAAACCCACTGGATGACCTTGGGCAAGTCACATGCTC